CCAGGTGGGGCCCCAGCACTAGCCCTGCAGAGGAACCTGATGTTAGGGTTCAGGTGCTATCATTCTCCAGGGACCTTTGGGAAGTTTCTTAAACCTCTCTGAGTCCCATTCTCTTCAGCTGCAAACAGGGATGATAGAAGTTCTCTTCGTGTGGCTGTTAGGGGTCTACTCAGAAGGAAACCTGCAGATGAAGCTCTTGCATGTTTGGCCATCAGAGAAGGAGGCAGACATGGCAGTGAGGATAAACCTGCAGCGAAGGGCCGTGAGCTAGCGCACATGGAGTGCCTGGTGCTGGCCTGCCTGCTCTCCTCCAGCAGAATTCATGGGAAGCACATGGTTAATTACTGCTTTGCTTAAAATGTTGATTTTTATAAGTAATCCTTATGGGATAGCATCTCTGGCTTATCTCCTAGCTGGCTTAGCAGTGTTTTTTGGCTGGAACTCTTATCTCGCTGTTTATTTACTCAACTAAGGGATTCTCTGCAGCCCTCGGGGAGAACGAGTTCTGATAATTATTTATCAGTCGACAGTTGATCGAGTGCCTGCTTGTCTTCCAACACTGGGCTCGGGAGGTGTCTCTCGGGGAGCAGCTGGCGTCCCAGGGCTCTCGCTGGCTCTGTGCACCTCCTGGCTGGCGTCCACAGGCAGCATGTACCTGCGGGCCTTTATCTGTTTGCATCAGGGTCTCCTGTCGGATCGTCTTTCCTGTCCCCCGCCGTGCGCAGTCTGGCATACAGATGCTTGATAAATACCTGGCCGAGGGGGCAGGAAGGAAACAGGAAAACCCAAATAATCAACAGCCTTCCTTCCCCTGCTGGGTGCCCCAAATTTTATTATTGCACAACCATCAGTAAAAGTTCTTGAGCACCAGCCTCCCAAAGCGCATTCTACTTATTTACAATGTGCACGCATGTCTTCTTGTGCTCAGGCGTGCTCTCAGTGTGCTGCAGGTTTGGGGCGAGGTTCTGCTCCCACAGCAGGTGCCTGTTCTAACAGGAACACACGAAACACCTCGAGAGGGCCTGGAGCCTGCTGGAAGCCATACGGTAATGACTCCGGGACCTCTTCTTTCTTTCTCATCAACCAACTACGACAATACTTTTGGTGATGTTGGTTATTAACTTTCTATCTTCCCTGATAATATTCAGTCGATTTTGTGAAATAACTGGAGAGTGTTGCATTTTTATAGGTAACCACACAAATGCAAAGTGGGTTAAAAACTATTTTCCAAGTTTTTCTTTTTGCTGAGCAAGATTTGCCCTGAGCTAACATCTGTGCCAGTCTTCCTCTATTTTGTCTGTGGCTAGCAGTGGTGTGTAGGTCCGTGCCTGGGAACCGAACCTGGGCCACCAAAGTGGAGGGCGCTGAAACTAACCACTAGGCCACGTGGGAGGTCCCCAAGGTTTTTTTGTTTGTTTTAAAGAGGCAGATGAAGTCTACTTATTTTCCTTTTAGTTGACACATATTTTGACAACAAAATCACGTGGTGATAAAGGCATTCCCACGCTTCCACCCACGAAGCATGGCAGCCTTGGCATCTGTTTCTTTGAAAACACCATGAGCTACTTTCTCATCCGTTGCTAAAGGGTCCTCTTCATTTGAACAGTAGATCAAGTTCATTAAACAAATTCACTAGGTAGCGTATCACCAGGTCGGCCGGTTCAGTACTCTTTACTTAGAGAGGAAAGACGTTAAGCATAGCAATTCTCTTCAGCACACCAGCGGCTCTGTCTCTGAACGGGGCAGAGAAGTGGTTAAATTCCCGTGAAAACACCTGCGGTGAAATAGTATCAACGTGGAGATGCTGAGGGAGAAAAGCCAAATTTAATAAGAAACTTTTGCATGGGGCTTTACGGTGTATTGACGTTCACAAAATTACCTCATTAAACTGACACCTGCACACCCTGAAATGCTCACACTGTTTTGACCCTGAATATGTATCTTAGGGCAATAAATGCAGAAAGTAACTTCTTTTGCACACAGTTGTGTGTGTCACGTTTATTTATAATAGGCTACAGCTATTATGATGGGGGCTGGTTGTATGAATACAGCAAATTTGTGTGGCTGGTCCATTGCCTGGAATACCAGGCTCTGATTGGTAATTGGACTGGGGAAGGCCATTTAATGATAAGGGCAGTGATCATTTGAAACGCCTCCTGAGAAAGCTGTGCCCACACAGGGTAATGGTGCTGCGTTATCAACACAGCTAGACCGGGCACCAGAAAACTGCCAGGTCACTGCTTAACAAAAGGGCAACGGTGTCCAGCTGGGGAGACCAAAGGGACATTTTTACCACTTATTTAGTCTATTTTATAAGTATTCTGTAATGTGTTTTTATTATTAAGTAGGATGATACTTTTTGAATAGTTTTTTTTTTTTTTTACGTTAAATCTGTATGTGACAACAAGATACCACTATACACCTGTTCGAATGGCCAAAATCTAGTACACTGACACCAAATGCTAGAGAGGATGAGGAGCAAAAGGAACGCTCATTTATTGCTGGTGGGAACGCAAAATGGTGCAGCCACTTTGAGAGACAGTCTAGCAGTTTCTTACAAAGCTAAATGTAGTCTCACCATATGATCCAGCAGTCGCACTCCTTGGGATTTACCCAAATGAGCTGAGAACTTGTGTCCAGACAAAACACACACACAAATGTTTATAGCAGCTTTTTTCATAACTGTAAACGCTTGGAAGCAACCGTTCACCAAGTAGATGAATAGATAAGCTGTAGTACATCCAGACAATCGAGTATTATTCAGTGATAAAAAGACATGGGCTATCTTGCTGTGAAAAGACACAGAGAAACTTTAAGTACATATTGCTAAGTGGAAGAAGCCAGTCTGAAAAGGCTACATCACGTATGGTTGCAATTATATGACATTCTGGAAAAGGCAAAACTATGGAGACAGTGGAAAGATCAGTGGTTTCAGGGGTACGGTGGAGATGAGCACAGAGGGTGGTTAGGGCTGTGACACTGTGACAGTGAGTGGCGGATACAGGACTTATGCGTTTGGCAAAGCCCACAGAATGTACAACACAGTGAACTGTAATGTAAACTATGGCCTTTCGTTAACAATAAGGTGTCAGTGTTGGTTCATCAATCGTTAACAAACATGGCCCTGGGTGCAGGACGGTAATAACGGGGCAGTCGGGTGAGGAATGGCATTGTGAGAGTATGGGAACTCTCAGTATTTTCTCCAAACCTAAAACTGCTCTATAAAAATTAGATTAAATTTTTAAGATCGTATTTGGCCATCATAGGGAATGTGGAAAATATGAAGACAGAACGAAGAGAGATTCCATAGGATCTGGCACTGAGTGCGTCCAGAACTAGCCTACCCCCTGCCTCTCTGTTTCCAATAAAGTGGCCAGGATGAGGACATGGAAATGGAAGTCAGAGCATCCTCCTCCGCTCCACGCACCTCGTGGCCTGGCTCACTCAGAGTGAAAACCCGAGTCATCATCATACCTCGGCCACCCTCCCCACCCCGCCCTCATTTCCCTCTCTGCCCCTCTCCCGTCCCCCTGGCCTCCCCGTCACCTTGCAGCTTCTGGAGCACACTAAGTAGGCATCAACCTCGGGGCCTTTGTGCTTCCTCTACTCCTCCCTGGCCTGAGTGGCTCCTGTCCTTGCCTCCTGCAGGCCGTCACCCACGTACCCCTCCCCAGTGAAGACCTTCCTGACAACCCCATTTAGAGGTGAAACCCGCCTCCCAGATGTCAGTCCCCTCCCCTGCATCGCTTTTCTCCCTTGTGCCTATCAACCTATAACACAAAGCAAATAGACACGAAAAGTGCATCCGTGTGTCTTCCCCACCTGGGGCTACAGTCCCCCAAGGCGGGCCTTGTCTCTGATTCACTGCTCTGTCCCTAGGAGCTAGAACATGCTTGGCGTCTGGTCAACCACATAAAGATTTGCTGACTGAGTGACTATAGAGTGTTGAAATTAGAGTGGTTCTGTAACGTGCTTATTTACCGAACATACTGTGAGCTGCCCCCATGGCGCTGCATGCTCTTTGATGTGATTCCACTGGCTGTTTAACCCTCACTGAGTGGATGCACCATCGTTTATATGACCGTTCACCTTTTGTTAATATTTCTAGTTTCCCACTATAAACCTTTATCTTAAGGCACTGGACTCATGGACGAATTACAGAAAGGGAAACGCCAGATCAGAAGTTGTGAACTATGTTGAGGTCTTTAGAACATACTTCCAAATTGCTTTCCAGCACTGGCCAAACGAGGCCTCCACCATCAATATAAGGAGGTATCTACAAAATATTTCTTAGAAACCACAGTTATTTGAGGGGCTGAGGATTCCATAAAAAAAAAAAAACGCTTTACAGAAGAGGCATATACAGAAACAAACTTTCAAATTCTTCCTAAGGCCAGAAAGGACAAGCTGGCTTTCAGGTTTGGAGCCCAACTCCTCACAAGGAGCTACCCAAGCCGAGACGGATGTTGAGTTTCTCCACTGCAACGGCCCGTCAGATGGCCAGCCTGACTGCTCAGGGGAAAGCTGAGCCTCATGGGCTCTGGAAACCCCTCTCTGCCCTGGCCCCTAGCTGCCCCTTCCTCTGCACCCACCTCCCACATTCCTTATGTGCCACTCCCTGGGCCCTCAGCAGCCTCTGCTCCCAGTAGTTGCCCACTTTCACCATCAGCTCTCATCTGTACGTATGTAACTCATGTGACTGTAGCAAAGTTGCTTCTCTTTAAGGTGCACACGTAAGCTGTGAGCTTCGACTGTAAGCTTTGTGACTCACTAAACATCACACAGAGGTGTGTGTGTGCTCTGTGTACAACTGACATGTTGATAGATTACAAACGCATCCCATTTATTTCTGGGATAGTGGCACACAGCATGTGCTTCCAGCAAAGGGGGTTAGCACCACTTTTGTTTTCTGGGTACTGGTATGTAGCATAAGGAAATGGCATTTGTCTCCTGAGGACACTGGGCGTCCCCATGCTGACCTCCCTGTTCCTCTTCTGCAGGTGGCGGCCACAACAGCCTTAAGCCCGTCAGCAGCAGCCCCACCATTGCCATCGCAGCCGCTGCCACAGCCATGGTCTCCATGGACCCTGACGGACTTGGGGTCCCATCACCATCCAGTGTGCAGCCCTGCCACTTCCTGACGTTGGCACCCATCAAAATACCCCTGAGGACCACTCCTTTCTGTGGTAAGCACAGAGCACTGTCTCTCAAAGCCTTGAGCGAACAAGGCAGGAACGAGCCTGCCTTCAGGTCCTCAGTCTCTGGGTTCATGTGCTGTGTGGATCCAGGCCTGGCTCCGGGGAGGGACGTTTGGTTGGGGTTATACAGGTTTTGCTCATCTTCAAGCTACACAAACGGACCTCAGTTCCATTGAACAAAGTCTTGTTAGGTCAACTCGGGCATTTTCTGCCATAAAGCAAAGTTTAAAGTTTCTGTTTGAGGAAATGAGACTTCCCTTTACTAACTCTTTAGGGAGAATGAAGTAGTGACCAATAGGGCAAGGACGCTGAGAAGTCTGGACTTTTCTTACATGAGGCATGGAAGAAAGAAAGGCAGCATGTTAGAAATCAGTTAAGCATCTAAGTTAATAAAACACAAAACAGTACAGCTCTCACTAAGCCATCCCACCTGGGCTCAACAGCTGGGCCTTCTCTGAACATGTGGGATGGGGTCCTACCCACCATGGCAGGACCTCTGTGGAAGCCACTGAAGCCCTGGGATGAGTACGAGAGGCGTGGATGACCACAAAGGTATTTGAGTCCATAAGTGTGGTTGGCGTACTCTTCTGAAAAGTCCTCAAGGTGGAGGCAGGGCTGGTAGACATCCTGGCATCCTGAGCAGAGCCAGGATGTGTGATGTGGGTCTCAGAGGGGAGATCAAAGCCCCCAGGTTCTGGATTGGTTGTGACTATGTGTGTTCAGAGCTGTACATGTCTGTCTGTTACCTGTAACCAGCAAGCCATGTGTTTGGGCGCCATCTTTGTGAACCCACGTTTAGCTCCTTTCCTCAAATGAAGAAAGAGCAACATTAATTTGGAATGACATATAGTAAGTACTCAAATCTTGTGAGCTAGTACTCTTTAGTTTTAGTGTTTCATGTGATATTGTAACTGAACTCAATGGGTTAATCGCCTGGTGATTGTAGAGCCAAAAAGCACAACTGAGGCAGAAGTAGGTGAAGAAAAGGTTTATTGCTTGCACAAACAAATGGAGAGCAGTGGGGATAGCTCCCAATGCAGTCTCCCTGAGCTCAGAGCCAGCCGAGACTTTATACACAAGAGAGCAGAGGATAACAGGTTTATTTGTAACAACTGTGTACCAATTCTGTGTTCATTTAAGGCGCATGTGTAACAGGTAAAGATGCTAGTGCATACAGCACAGGATCTGAAAAAGGCTGCTTGGACCCTCCCCGAGGAGGAGGATTTAAGATACTGTGAGTTTAAGGTAACTTTCAGATGCTTGGTACTGGGACATTTTGCAGGTGTCTTGCTGCAAATGCACAAGTTTCTCTTGAAGACAGCAACACTGCAAAACGGGATGTCGACTTCTGCAAAACAGGACACATAGTTTCTTCTTGTCAGAAAAACATTTGATAGACCATGCTAATCATTGATCAGATCCTCAGTAACCCTTTCTTTGCCTGGTTCCCTGGTCACAATATGATAAGACTTGAATAGAAATTCTATACTAGAATTAATACTAGAATTCTAGTATTAATCTTATTAATTGTTAGACTATAAGCCATAGGAGTCATCACTAGATTGCGAGGTGTATACATACGTGTGTATAGAGAGAGATGAGCTCATGGTACAAAGGGAAGTAACCTAGTTTCATCTCTTTCCAGTTTGGGGAGGGTTTTTGATTGCTTGTTTCTGGTAAATCTAATGTGGTCTCCTCAACACCAGACCTTTGACTTCTGTATTTCTCTATTGCCTTAAGAAATTAGTTGATCAGTAGAGCACTGTCTTCTCAAGAACAAAATCTTATTCCTCTTTCAGCATGTTAGTGAACGTGCATGTAGGGTGTGATGGGGAAATAAATAAAACACATAGATAATCTCTTGTGTGGAACATAGTTTACAGCTGTGTCAAGATTTTGGTTAAAATCCATCAGTCCACTGGCATTTATTAAGGATGATTTACTGTTTTTGGAGAAAAATAATCTTAGAAAGAGCCAAAAACCATGTACCCCACGGGTGGCTTCACTTTTCATGTCTCTTGTATGATTTATAAAGTGATATAATAATTAGGCATCTTTCCATGTTTGCATTTTATAAGGCTCTATAATCAAATTTGCCATAATGTGCATTCAGTTAGAAAAAGACAAGCGTCAACATTATCTGTCTTATAGATAACTGCCAAAATGGGCTGTCAAAAAGATGAAGGGGCAGGACTCAAAGGTAGCTTCCAAAATTGCCTTTACAGTACTGGCATGGATTCTTTTGATTTCTAGTAGAGGCCCCAGTTGAAGTTGAAATACAGGCAGCGAGTTGGGTCTGGACCAATGACCCAGCCCAATGGGTGGTGTCTGAGCTCTTCTGTCAATCAAGGCGTCAATGGTGAATGTGGTTCTACCCAGGGGTGCCCCTGGTAAATGAGTTCTTTGGGAGATATGTTCACTTAGTAGGGTCATTGTCCTGGCTAACTCCTCTTGGCTTTAGCAGAAGGTATTTGAGTGGGACTGGCCATGCCTATGATGAAAACCTTTAAAGAATTTCCCTTGAGTGCTTTCTGAGAACCAAGGCTTGAAGGAGACTGAAGGTAGACCCCTTGGCTATCAGGCTTTTTTTTTTTTTTTTTTTTTTAACAATGTCAATAGCCCCATAGGATCAATGAGACTGAAGAGGTGACTGTTCTGATGGGTGTTCTTAGGGGAGGTCCATGCATTCTGCTGGGAAACTCCTGACATACCTTAAAACAGGTGGACTTGGGGGATGGGGGGCGTTCAGCATAAAATGCAAGGCCCATCGAGGGCTAGGTGGGAGAAGTGTGGCAGAGGAGAGAGAATGGCATCGACAGCAAAACAGGTTTTTATAGACCAATAAAAATGTGCCTCTCTGTGAAGTTTGCTCCATACTCAAATTGATTTTGTAAAAGCATGTGAACTTTAATCTAACTACACACAAATAATCCTGTTTTTATTTAGAAGATAATTAATTCCCATTTTAGATAAATGAGCTAGACTATTTAATTTAAACCCTCTGCTTCATAATATAAGCCAGATAAACTTCGCAGCGCTACACGGCTTAGCTTTACGGTTCTCAACTGGGGCAGTTTTGCCCCCAGGGGATATTTGGCAACAGCTGGAGAGTTTTTGGGGGGATTGCTACTGGGATCTAGTGGGCAGAGACCAGGGATTCTGCCACACACTGTGCGATGCCCCGGACAGCCTGCCATGGTAGAGACTTCTCTGACCCAAAATGTGCATAGTGCCTCTGTTGAGAAACCCTGGTTTATAGTCTAGAATTCCACTTCACAAACTGTGACATCTTAGATTGGTGTATGAATAAGCTCGCCCGGGAGAGCTAGTGGTCCAGGAACTGAAGGATCCTGAAGGAAACAGGCTCAGTGCTAGAACAAGCAGCCATAAGAGTTATACTTCGTTATGCCTTTAACGTGATTCAGAGTTTCAAATAAGACATCAGATTGAAAGAACCCACAACCAGTTCCAGATTCAATCACAAACTGGGTTTTCTCTTTCACAGTGTTGTCGGCACATGAGGAAGGTACCCGCGTCAGACTGGCCGCGCCCATGATGAAACTTTTACAGAATTTCCCTTGAGTACTTTCTGAGAATCCAGGCCTGTGGAGACAAGGGTGGACTATTTGTTTACCAAAGTTAATCCTTGCTCTTGGGCTCCCAAAGGACCCGTGCTGACCTAGGGGATCTCTTTGGCCTCCTGCTCACGTTGCTCTGTTTGCTGGCCTGTCCCTGCCCCCTCCCCTAGCCTCTAAGTCATCTGCTGGTGGCGCTGAGTCTGCCTATCCTCGTCCAGCCTGCATGAGATGCCCGGGGCACTCTCATTACATCTGTTGAACTGCTGGCTCTGCACACTGAATTCTTCAGCAGTTTCCTGGACTAGTGTCTATTCTTCATATTGTACATTGATAGGTTGAACAACAATCTGTTCTCCTGTTCCCATAATTTCTAATGCTATTTCTCACATATCTGCCCCGAATCAGAGACGAGGTAGAGGGAAGGGTAGGTGGTGCAGAGGGTTTACCTGGAGATACCTACCGCTTCCCTTTCCTGATGATGGCAGCCGCTGGCCCCTTAAACGTGGGCTGTGAAAGCTGGGAGCGAGCAGGCACAGGGCACAGAGCACAGGGGGACACCGTCCTATTCATCTTCTTGAAGCAGCTTTCCGCTAAAACCAGTTTGCCTCATTTCCAACTGTTCCTTTAAATCTTAGACCTTCAGGTTAAAGAAGGAAGACATTCTAGGTAAAAACATATCTCGCATGCCATTTCTTTCTTAGCTTTTAAGGAGAACATGACGTTTATCAGGCGAGACGGAAAGACACGCAGGACTTGTCCGAGAGAAGAGAATTGTCTTCGCAGCCCTCTCCAGGGCTGTGTCCTCCTCACCTGTTCACTCACAACTGCTCACCTCAGACTTTCTGCCGGTGTGTGAGGCAGGTGCCCACATTCCGGAGGAGAAACACCAGCACAGCTCCAGCGTCTGCCCCTATTTGATGAAATAAATGAAGAGATTCTTTATCTAAGAATGATGGTAGCTATTTTTAAACCTTGCCCACGGTTTCGTAAGCATTCAGATGAAAAAGCTAAAGTATGGGTGATAGTTATGGTCTCTGGCGGAGTGAATTGCTACTACATGCAGCTATTAGCAAGTGCCATCTGCCCCCAAAACCGTTTACCACCTGCTCTTCTGCTTCCACAACTATTTAATGGTTTAACTTTGACATTCTGTCCTGCCACAGAACAGCTGGGAAGTGACTATTCTTTTTTCTATCAGGAACTTACCAGCCAAGCTACACGACAAGTCAGGAAGGTCCCCGAGCCAGAATCCTACCACGCAGGCTCTTGCGTGGCTGTCGGCTCACCTCATCAGCGAGCTCAGCGGATGCTCAGACAGGTTCTATCATAGCCATAATCCAGCCACTTGGGGATGAAGTCTTTTCTCTTTTTATCCAGGAATTGTTTCCTCCTCCACTATAATCAAAAATGTCATAATACATATTAACATTTTAGAGATTTTCAGAGACAAAAATACTGTAACAACATAATTACTTATACCCCAAAGTGCCTGAGACTCAGCTGGCTTCTGTGAGAAAGACATAGGTGTTTCTAATGGAGGGATTGAGCTGTTTTTAGTAGAAAAATTATTGGATTCAATGAAACAAAAAAAAGACTGTCTAGTTTGTTATCCACAAGTGAACTGAGATTAAGGATGCTAGCTACGGAGGGGCGGTGGCATCACTCCACGTAGGTATGTAAGGTGCGGAGCTCGCTAACTTCAGGTCCTACCATTGGGATGCAATGGCTGCTGGGAATCGCTCCCACTGAGACTCCTTCCTGTCAGCAAGTATGTATACTCTAGATTGCCCACCTAGAAAAGGTCCTTCTTTGACCTTTTCCTACCCCTGGCTGCTCCATTCCTCCTACCTTCCCTGAGAAACGCCTAGCACTTTAGCTACATTAGCCGTCTGCACTGTTAGCTCCAATTCACTCTTTCTTTGAAAAGAAAAACGGAAATCCATCCTGCACACAAAAGCATGTATGT